CTCGCCGACCCTATGAAGGCACATGTGGTTCTCAAATACACATCAGGCATTCTGATGCGAGTTTGTGTATTAAAGTAATAGACAATTTACTTTGTTTCGTGTGTAGAACAGACCAAGCTCAAGATGTAAAGAAGATTGAGAAATTCTGCAGTCAACCAACATAATTTAAGGTAGTGAAGGAACCCACAGTGTTGCCATGGAAACAGACAGACTTGTTTGAAATGAAGACTTGTTTGCCATGGTCTTAGGAATTAAGTTTCTTCTGAATTTGAGAAAGCATTGGGACAGAAAATACTTCATGTAACTAAGTGGGCTATTCAGAAGCCGAGAGATCATTTTTTGTACTTTGTTTCTGAATATTTACTTTAGAGAGCTAGGAATGAATGTAAATGTTTTCAGTTAGCAAACTTTTACTTATTTTTGGAAACTGTACAAGAAAGGTAGCTATCTTGGAAGCTTTCTGAGATTATGTGACACTGGGTAAAATATATAATTACTTCTTTTGGTAAGTTGTATCAATAATTTGAAAATGAGACATCAAGAAAAAGCCCATTTTTCCTTAAGTTTATTCATCTTTAAAAGAAAGTAAATGTAATCATTTTGCTGAGCTGATCGATTTCTTTTGGGCCATAAAATACATGCCGCTGATGCCCAAGAAATATAAAATCTGGTAACCAGACCTAACTGCACAGCAACATACCTGATTATGTATAGTAGTACAGCCTCGACTGTATCTGCACTTATGGAAATGACTATGCTTTATCTTGAACTTTCCAAACTTAAGAGATATTTTGAATACAAGGGCTTCACAGTATTATTGGCTGGTTGAGCAGACTCTGAATCTGAGTTTTCAGTGTTCAAATTGCATGAATGGAATGGTCACTGATGGTCCGAAGCCACCATAGGACAGGACATTTGTCACCTATTTCCAATGTATAGTTTGTACAGTTTCTCAGGAGGGCTGAGAATTATGTGAGCTGTTGAATCTTTTCGTGCCCCTCTGCCACTCCTGCCTGCTTTTCTACTTCCTTAACCAGGCATTAAGCATGACTGTCAACTGTTACATTTTCCACTGAACCAGAAGTATATTATTTGCTATTTACTTTATATTTGTAACCTGAATTTTAGTACCAAAGTGTAATGTCCACATGTTGATTCCTACATTAAAATATTTTTTGTTAGGAATTTGTCATGCTGAGCAACACTTTAATAAGGAAAGTTCCATTAGCCGTATGAATTCTGACATGTTTCAAAGAGGCCAGTAAATAAAATATTATGTATATATCATTCCTCTTGAAGTTTTTAACTCCAGAAGACTTAATGATTTCTTGACTGGAGGATACTGAATTCATATAGTCTAAAGTGAGCCTAATGATATAGTAAGCAAATTTTGTTTGTTTTGTTTCTTATTACACTTCTCTGAGCTGTATGTTGATGGCCAGGTTCTCTTCTTGACTAAAGAGAGTAATCAACTAGTGTAGGGTTAAAAAAAAGTGTAAAGTACTGTATAATACTCAAAAAAGTCTATACACTTTAGCAAATAGTGTTAATTCATTTACTAACTATCCAGGTGAAGAAATATAATCAGTGGCCCAAAGGCCCATCTTGTGCTCTCTTGCTTCCCTTTTATTATTTAATAATAGTAATAACTCACCCATCATTACTACCCTATATTACCACAGGGTTATAGCATCTGTGGATGCTATTTTTTAACCTTCATGCGCCTCTGCCTCTTTAAAGCCCTCAAACACAGAGCTAGTAGGGGTTAGGGACCTTAGATATTGTGTAATCCACCTGTCCCCCCTATTTTGTACATGAGTTCAGAGCAGGAAATGACTCGATCAAAGTCATACAGAGTCACAAAATCTGAGTCTCCGCTTTCCCAATCCAGCGCCCTTTCTACTGCCTGACCACCTCTTCTCAGCCTCTACACCCGGGACTGGACCCCAAAGCTGCCTTCCAAGGCAGGGCAGGGCAGTAAGTCCCACCCCTTACCTCGTTGTCATCTGCGAGCGGCGGCCCCTTCGCTGCACCTGCCGGTGCTTTATCATTATGTTCCAAGGGTTCTGTGGGGACCAAGGGAGCAGATGTCACCGAAGTCTGCGACGCTGGGGTGAAGGTGGCGGGAGGGTAGGATAAAGTTAAGTCTACACTGCAGCTTCTCAGATGCTTACACCACCTCTCCCACTGTGGGGCGGGGCTGGGGGGGGGCAGTGATTGGAAGGCCCTGCCAGTGATGAGAAACTCGGGGAGACCTTCTTGCCTTAAAAGTCCCGACTCCACCTTTTCAGGAACGGCTGGAAGAAGGGACTCAGTGTTTAACGGAGGGCCCACTCTGTGGGATCTGATATGCTAGGCACTTCACCTGCATTTATATCCCACCCCCAAAACAACCCTATGAGGCCGATACTAATCATCTCCGTTTTATAGAAGAGGAAACTGGAGCTCCGGGGGAGTTGACAGCCTGGCCCACGCCGTCTAGCCAGGAGGGCAGCACCAGAATTTGAATCCAGGCCGTCGGACTGCGAAAAACGCCAACCCCCTAGGCAGCATCAGCCACCGCGTTCCCTCGCCCGCGGGCTAGGGTCCCGGGAACCCGAAGCCCTGCGGGCCCAAGCTCAGGCCAGGCCCAACCTCCCTGCGAACAGTCTTACCGTGAGAACCAGCTGCCCCGCTGCACCCGAATCTCCCAGCTCCGGGCCGCCCCGCTCTGTCCCGCCGGGTCCCCGCGGCTGCTCGGCGTCGCCAGTGGCCCCCATGGCGCCCACGACCCTCACAACCCCCGGCCGACTTTGCCAGTGGGCCGGAAAGCGGCCTCGTGACGTCATTGGAACGCGCGGCCGCCTGCCCGAAAGCGCGACGCCGCGAGCTGCGGAGTTACCATGGGAACCAACTGCCGCGTCGGAGGGGGCGGGTGTGTGTGTGGGGAGGAGTCAAGGGGGACGATTGTGGGGGGCGGGGCTTTCTCCCCGTGAGGGTGGGGCCTCGGGTGTAGACGAAGCTTGTTCAGTCAAGAGCTTTTCTCCATCTGGAGAAGTGCGGGGCAGAGGAAGGAGAGCAGGTTTCCAGGGCTTGGCGTTGGGGAGCGTAGGGGAGTGTTTCGTACAGTGGCGCCTGCAGTTCAGTCTTTGCAAACTGTAGATTTTAATATGGCCGGTACCCATCCCCCGGATTGGAGTGGCCTATGCGGAGGCTCAGAAAACTAACAGCAGGAGGCCCATGACATCCCGAACACTCATTTCAGCCCTCGACCCCAGGGCTGCCTCTTGAGTCTGCAGGCATCAGAATGAAAGTTGGGACTTGGACCGTGGATTCCTCCAGCCCCAGGGAGCTGGGTTTCTTTCCCCAGACTGGTGATTCTTGGATGGGCCCGGGGATGCAGGGGTTTAACAGCTGTGGCGTTCCCCAGAGGTCCCCTTAACTCTGCCATATAGGTTAGATGGCCCTGAACAGAATTGGGTCCGTTAATGAGAAGTAGAGAAAGTTAGTTTTTCCAGGTCGCAATATAGGGCAGTAAAAAGTACATGACTTTTGCAGTTAGAAAGATCCGAATTCAAGTCCAGTATAATATAGTGATTTAAGAACTACGGAATTGGACTGCCTATCTTTGTTTTACCATTTGCCAGCTGGGTGACCCATGCTCCTTTCTTCGCCTCAGTTTTCCCATCTGTAGAATGGGTACAACAGTAACAAACTCATAAGGTTGCTGTGAGGATTAAGTGAGTTAATTCATGTAAAACGTTTAGAACTAGGGTGCAACTCTGACTGATATGGTTCAGTGGGTTGAGTGCTGGACTGCAGACAAAAAAGGTCACCACTGGATTCCCAGTCAGGGCACACGCCTGGGTTGTGGGCCAGGTCCCCAGTTGGGGGCATTTGAGAAGCAACCCATCTGGCACAGGAAAACCCTCAGACAATGCTGTCTGTCATTACTATTAACATTATTAAGTTCCGGCAGCCACTACTTGCTGGCTTTCTGACCTTGGACAATTTTTCTCTGAGTCCTTCTGAGCCACTTTTCTTACCTCTGCAAGATTATTGTGAGCATTAAAATAAATAATGTATATAAAGCACATAATAGGTCATCAACAAATGTTAATTATCTCCATGCTCCAATATCAACTTTAAAAAAATGAGGCAACTTCCTGGCACCAAACTCTTTAGTGCCATTAAGGAAGTTTTTACCTCGAGCCTTGAATATTCCCTCCCCTTTACTCTCACTGGGCCAAGCAATGCCAAACCTCCCCTTTAACCTCACTGGACACTATTAAGTATCATGGCTGACCAAAGTCATAAGCAGACAGATAAAGAAAAATAAAAAGAAATAGAGAAAGAAGAGATAAAATAAAGAAGTATATATGGTTTGGACTACTTGAATGATGGCAACTATTCTTTGGGGTTCTGTCCACGAGCCTTCAGACCGTTCAAGAATCGCCTATGTGGTCCAAAGGGACCAAGATGTAGGTTTTGGTGCATTTGTATTAAATCTGAACAGACTCAAATGCAGCTTTTCTGAAGCTTTTCGATAGTTTCTAAATATCTGTTCCATTCTCTGCCTTCTAGGTTGCTGGGATGAACCAAAGCCACAGTGTGTTTTATTAGCTTTGGTTGTCTTTTTTGTTTTTTTAATTAGGTCATGCCTCTGGTCCTTCCCTTTGTCATTTCAGCTACACCTGTGTCCTTCCAAGGCCTTAAGGGCTGCCTTTGATCCTTGATCCAATGGGCATCCTCCATTTTCCCAGGCTTGTCATCATTGTCCAGGGGTGTTGTGTATTGTTCATTACAGAGTTTGGTCACCACCATCACATGTGCCCTTTGATAGTGCCAGGAATTTTTCCACACACCAGCAACCAGTCATTTTTCTTCTTGTCTGGAGAGGCCATCCTTGGGGATTATTGCGAAAGGCAAGCGCGTGAGTCTGGGTGTAGGCCAGTCTCCTGGTCCTCTCTTCCTCCCAGCTGATACTCTGGGCAAGGCGAGCACCTCCGGCCTGACCTGAGCTCTCATCTCAACTCTCAGCATCATCACCATGTTGAGCCGCCTCTTCCTCCTAAAGACATTTCTTGTTCTTGGGTCCCTGACATCCTGGGTGACTGCAAGAGAGCATGGTAAGCTATCATTTGGGACCCCTGGCTGACAGTAACAGAAAGTGCCTAGAGAAGGCACGCCCTGCCTCCCGCCCAGGGCCAGGGGCCTTATTTGTGAAGATGGTCATCTCTGTAGGATGGGATTGGATGCGTAGGTTCTTGGGACGGCCAGGGTGGGTTTTTCTGGCTTTCTGTACCTTCTCTGGGCAAGGAGATAGGACTTCCAGTCTGGCTTTCCCCTAGAATTTCTTTTTAAAATTATTATTATTATTATTATTTTATTTCTAGAGAGAGGGGAAGAGAGGGAGAAATAGAGGAAGAGAAATACCAATGTGAGGTTGCCTCTTATGTACCTACAACTAGGGACCTGGCCTGCAACCTAGGCATGTGTCCCGACTGGGAATCAAACCAGCAACCCTTTGCTTCACAGCGCTCAGTCCCCTGAGCCACACCAGCCAGGGGTCCCCTAGAGTTTCTTAAATGAGAACACTATCACCCCAACCTTTCTCTCTCTCTTTATCTGTAGCATGGCTGGTCCTTTAGTCATGGTGTGTGTGTTTGTGGTTGCATGGATGGAGGGGAACATGGTTGCCCCTCCATGTTCCCCTGGGGAAGAGATGTTTTAGATAGGAGTGTTTGCAGAAGCTGAACGTTCTTGGAGTATGCTTTGCTTCCCCTCCCCACTTCTCAAGTCCGGCCCGGTTAGCCCACCCTCACGTGATGCCTTTTGCAGTGAAAGAAGGAGAGTGCCCTCCGGACAAGAACCCGTGCACAGATCGGTGCCAGGGGGATGAGTCATGTCCGGCGGGGCAGAAGTGCTGCCACACGGGCTGCGGTCGCGCCTGCCGAGGAGGCATCCCGCAGGGTACGTTGGCATGAGGGGCGAAATCCTCACCTTGCCCTTGGGCTGGAAAGACCCAGAGGGAGCTTCTTGCCTCCTGGATGGGCTCTGCACATCTGGCTTGCAGAGAGCACCTCTTCTCTCTCCTTTTGGGGTCTCTCCTCTTTCACCTACTCAGTGTGCCCAGTTCTTTGTCTCCTGTTGGGAGGGAGCATGGGACTGACTGGCTCGGCCTTTAACTTTGAGCCCAGGGTTTCTGTGAAGGCTGGAGAGCAAACGTGGGAAGGGAAGTTTAAGATCCTAGGAAAAGGAGTGAAGCCTAGAGCCAGGCAGACCTTCTTAATTAAGCCTTAAATAAAGCTTAAAGGGTTCTTTGTAAGTGTTTTTCTTTAAAGATTTTATTCTATTTGTTTTCAGAGAGAGGAGAAGGGGGGAGAAAGAGAGGGAGGGAAACATCAATATGTGAGAGAAATATCCATCGGTTGCCTCTGGCACGTCCCCCCAGGTGCCCCAACATGGAATTGAACCTGCAACCCTTTGGTTCACAGGCTGATGCCCAATCCACTGAGCTACACCAGGGCTAGGTATTAAGTTTTCAAGGCACAATATCCTCCTCTCTAAGGTGGGGATACTTGTGTGTACCCACAGAATCACTGTGAGGATCAAATGAGAGGCAACTCCGTGAACATCACAGTAAATGTTCTTGTTGTTACTCCCTGGGCTTTAGCACTGGGGTGGAGGGTCCTGAATGAAGCTCCCTCTGATTGTCTGGTCTGCTGTGCCTGTGGGTGTCCCCGGCACCCTCATCTCTTTTTTGGTGTCTGTCTTCCTTTCTGCTCCAGGGAGAAAAGGCAATTGTCCCAGGGCTGCTCGGAAACAATACTGTTTTCAAAGGTGCGTCACCGATGAAACCTGTCCAGGGGTGAAGAAATGTTGCAGGTTTGGCTGCAGCAAGGCCTGTGTGGTCCCGGTCTCCACACGGAAGCCAGGTAAGAAGCTCCGCCCTGTACCCCATGCTCTCTGCTTGGCTGCCTTTCTCAGATACGCGTATGTACCATCGTGTTGGTTTTACTCTACTCCGAAAAACCGATGAAGTGCCTCCTATATTCTGAGATCCTTTCCAAGAAAAGATACATGAAGGGTACCCAGGCTGGGAGGGTGCGTGGGATGTGGCCTGGGCAGGCAGAGGAGGGCGCCAGAAGGGAAATCATGGGGTATCTGTATTTGCTGGCAGACTTGAAAGCTGCTGGGCAGTTTCCAAGCCCCGTCGTCAACTGCAGTATTCTCTGTGAAAGTCTTAGCTTGAGGGGCTGCAAAGAGGTGGCAAAAAGGATCGTGTGACCTGTGCAGGGCAGCACACACTTCCCCATTCACTGCTTCTGAGGCTCTGGGTCCCCTCTGTCCACACACAGGATGGCCATCTCTTGTTGGAAATGGGCCCTATTATTTTTTTTATCCTCACCTGAGGACATGTTTATTGATTTTCGAGAGAGCAGAGGGGAGGAAGAGAGAGAGAGGAAGAGAAAGATGGATGTGAGAGAGAAACATCTATTGGTTGCCTCCTCTATGTGCCCTGACCTGGGACGGAATCTGCAACCTAGGAACGTGCCCTGACTGGGAGTCAAACTCACAACCGTTCATTCAGTTTACAGATGACACTCCAACCAAGTGAGCTACACTGGCCAGGGCAAAACGGGCCCTATTTTATTCTGATTCTGGCACAGAGGTGTTTGAAAGAGGTTTCTTCTTTCTCTTACAGCGTCCCATCACCTAATTCTCTATTTAAATACCACGTCTTTAACAGATATTTACTAGTATTTACTATTTGCTAGACCCAGTGATGGGTTCTTGGTACCTTGTGGCGAACAAAGTGGATTCAGTCCCTGTCTTCTCGGAGCTTGTAGCCTAGTAGGGGAGGAAGAGGCTTAACAGCCTGCAAATAAATATTAATTTCAAACTGTGACAAGGACACAAGGAAAACGGAAGGATGCTGAGAGAGAATAAAAGGGCACTTGTTTTATTTTATTTTCTCAGAGACACATTTTATTTACTAGATCACCAGTCTGTTATAAAACAGGGCACTCGCTTCAGACTTTGGGTGGTCCAGGAAGGCCTGTCTGAGGTGGTGATATTTCGCCTGTGACCCAGAGTTGAAGTCAGCCAGGTCAAGGGTGCGATGGATATTTGGGAACAGCGAGGCAGGCGCTTAAGTGGTTAGGCTCAGAAGGACGGTGCAGCATCTGAGAAACTGCCCCTTCTCATCCGCCTTTGCCTCAGTATGGTCATGGCTGCTTTGGCTCGCTGGTGCTTCCAAATATATTTATTATCATGTCGTCTCTTCCCTGTGGCCCCAAATACTGAGGCTACTTAAGCTGGAGAGGGGGTTAGATATATACATTAACTTAGAACTGACGTTTTTATAACGTTGAATCTTTATGTCTTCCCATTTTTTTTCTTCTCCAAGTATATTTGGTATATTTCAAGGTGTTTTCTAGTCTTAAAGTATTTCTTGGTCAGTTAATGCCTGGGTCATTTTATTATCTCTTTTTTTGCTGTCTCAAATGGGATCTTGCTTAATGTCTTTTGTCGTGGTTTCTAAAGGAGCCGGGGCCATCCTCTGAGCGCGCCTGGCAGCGTATTGCGATGGAAAAGCATAGGTGTTGGTGGTCAGAGAGCTGGGTTCAAGCCTGAGGCTCACCAGTTACTGGGCAGTGAGTCCCTGGCCATGTCTCTTCTGCTTCTCTGGGCCTCCGTTCCCTGCCCTGTAACGTGGAAATAATAAGCCTCAAAGGTTGTGATGACTCCAAGTCTGTAAACTGTTTGGCCCTCACTCTGCATCAGCTGTCTTCCTCTTGCCTCGTAAGGTGGGCTTTGTCGGGGGTACGGCTTCCAACCAGCCCCGTTTATCAAGAACCAGGATCATGTTCTCCTCCCGCTCAGGTCTCCTCTGAGACCCCCAAACCGCACCACACTTGACGACCTCTTTCGTTCCCGCCAGACCTCCCCAGGTAGCAGGGGCCCCGTCGGGCCGTCTGCCTGTGCGAGCAGCTCTCCCGGGCAGCCTGCCCGTGGGAGAGAATGGAGGGTTGTACTCCCTGCCAGGACTCTTGAGGCCCAGCTCTGGAACCAGAGCCTGGGAATCTTTGGCAGATGGGTCACTCACTGCCAGCTTCCCGGGCCTGGTACAATCCGCCTAGTGTTTGAAGCTGATGGCTGCCTTGCGAGGGCTGAGGAGGAGGCTGGCCCCCTGGCCAGGCGTCTTTGTGAGCCGCTCTGGGTCTTGGCCAGCCCACATGGGGCTTCCGCTTCGCTTGGGGCTGGGCAGGCTGGAATAGCGATCTCCCAGAGCCCGCTGGCTGAGTGGGGTTCCTAGTCCGGTGAGAGGCGGCAGTGGCTGCTGTGTTGGTAGCGAAGTACTTTTGTACAGTTCCGGTCCTAGAGGGAGGCTGGACACTCACCCAGCGGGCTGGTGGCTACACACAGGTTCACAGGAAGCTCTCCTCTCTGGGCTGTGAACAACTCATGCTTTCCCTAAGCCCTGGTAGTGCCAGAGGTTTAGCATGGCCTGTGCTGCTCAGTTTGGTACGGCGGCAGGACAGTCAGGTTGTCTGGGGCACAGGGCGGATGCTAGGACCCGCTTCCAGGAGGCAGTTCTGGTCTGAGTGTGGGCCTCAACCCTGGTGCCTCTGCTTGCTTGCTGTGTGGCCTCAGGTAAGCCCTTGCATCTCTCTGGACCTCACTTTTGGAGATAAGGACATTTACCCCATAGAGTGACAATATAATGTCTCAGTCCGTTTGGGCTGCTGTAACAGAGTACCATGCACCGGGTAGCTCATGAACAACAGGAGTTTATTTCTCAGAGTTCTGGAAGCTGAGAAGTCCAAGGTCAAGGTGTAGGCAGATTGCGTGTCTGCTGAGGCCCTGCTGCCTGGTTCGGAGACTGCCGTCTCTTTGCTGTGGCCTCATGTGGCGGGAGGGCAGTCAGGGCACTAATGTTGTTGAGGCTTCACTGTCATGACCTGATCACCCCAAAGGTCCCACTTCCGAATATACTCACACTGGGGATTAGATTTCAACATATGTGTTCTTGGGGGGACACAAACATCCTGTCCATATCATGCAGTTTAGAAGAAATGCACTTTATTTACTTAATTTAATTTTAAGATTTTATTTATTTATCTTTAGAGAGGGGGAAGGGAGGGAGAGAGGGAGAGAAACGTCAATGCGTGGGTGCCTCTCCTGTGCCCCCTACTGGGGACCTGGCCTGCGACCTAGGCATGTGCCCGAACTGGGAATCGATCTGATGACCCTTTGGTTCGCAGGCTGGCGCTCAGTCCATTGAGCCACACCAGCCAGGGCAAGAAATGCATTTCCAAAGCCTATCCAAAAGCTGCCAAGCCATGTTCGATAACTCATAGCGATGCCCAGCACCCCTCCATTCAAGTTCCCTCCCGCCCGTCCGAAGTCTGACCTGTATTCACTCATTTGTTTTCAGTCCCTACCTAATGCCTCCCCCACCTAACACTCAGGCATCCCCTGGGGAACCAAGGCAGCCAGGGTCCTTGGAGACAATCATCAACAAGTAATAATAATAACCACACATTGTGACAAATGCTGGGAAGGAAAAGAAAGAGGGGTATAGAGGAAAGGTCATTTTCACTTGGAGATCGAGGAGCTGGCCATTGGCCGGAGTGCCATGAAGAGGGACCAGCGAGGCCAGAGGCTGTGAGGTGGGTGGGGGACAGCGTGCTGTTCTTAAGGAGGGGAGCGGAGGTCAGTGTGGGTGGGTGGAAGAGGAGGAGCAGGATGGCTCCTTCTGAAGCAGAGCCCAGACTTCGGGGAGTCTGTGGGGCCTGTCTCCAGGCCTGGAGGGGCTTATAGAAGCAGGAGAGGCCTGGTCCAGTTTTCACTGTAAAAAGTCCCCCTGCTGGTGTGTGAAGAATGGGTGGGGCAAGTGGAGAAGACGGCAGGCCAGGGAAGGGGGCATCGTGGCAGGCTGGGCGAGAGTGACCGCGGCTCAGGCCATCGTTGTGACGGTGCAGACAACAGTGGCAGACGGGGAGCACTCTGGCCAGCAGAGTTGGTGGGACTGGGGAGAAGGAGGCGGATGTGGGCGTTGAGGGAGTATCAGGAATGGCCTGAGGGTGTCCGGCTGGAGCAGCCAGGCGAGGACGTGCTTCTTACTGAGGGGGAGCAGGTCCGGGAGGAAGAGGTTTTGGACCGAAGATTCAGATTATGGCCCAAGAACTGTCCCTTCGGCTCCCTCCTGGCCCTCCTCCCACCGTGTGAAACTTGGCCACGCCCAGTGCCCTGTAACCCTCTGTTTTGCTTGTGACGAGCGGTGGGCCATATCCTTGGTGTGGACTGACGGCACAGGCTCCTGCGTGAACCTTCTCCTGAAACCTCCCTGCTGGTTGTCACAGAAAACAGCACAGCAGGCTGGAGATGGAGGCTCCTGGGAAGGCCTGCTTGCAAGGCCGGCCTGGGCCGGCTTCTGGGAAACTGCAGTTTGAGAGTGTCATTCCGAGTCTAAGTGATTAGAGGGTCACAGGGGAAACCGGGAGCCTAATGAGCTTCCTTGGTGGACAGCGCGATGCATTATGGTCCCCCCTGTTCTGGCCTCCCCTGTGTCTGCACTGGGAGAGGACCCTTGGAAGCTGGCATCTGGCTTCCTCTGGACTTTGCCTCACTTCCCTTTGAGGCTTTGCTTTGTATCCTCTGTTGTAATAAATCAGAGCCACGGGTACGGCTATGTGCCGAGTCCCATTTGTCCTAGTGAACCACCGAACCTAGGGTGGCCGTGGGGGTTCCCAACACGCTGTCTCGTTTACGGTTTCCTAGCCCCTAAAACTGTGCGCTACTGGGTCTGCTCTTTCGGCAGAACTGAGTGGAGTGAGTCCCAGCGCTTGTTGATTTGTTTTGGGGTGACCCTTGTGGAGTAGGAGCTCATAGTGTGTGGTTTAAATGGTACCCCTAGAGCTGGGGTCTTGGGACCCAGTTCTGCCACCATTGCTCTTAGGTCAGCCCCTGTTTCCTGGAAGTCTGTCTGTTTGCAGGAGAAGAGGAGTAGGTTTCATACTTCAGTGGGTCCTTTGCGGGTCTCAAAATTTCACTTTGCCGCAGGCAGTCACCCTCGTCCTCAGGACCAGCGTTGAGACCCAACCCCTTCCCTCTTCCAGGGGCGGGTTCTCCTGGCCTTGGTCCTGTCAGGGCCACGCTCGGCAAAGTGGTGGGACTGGGAAGCATACTACCCACCTACCCACTTTCCAGGGCACGTGGCCTAACTCCACGGCGAATTTATGTTGCCGGGTTTTTCCCACCAGCGAGATTTGACTGTGGGATAAGAGGCTTTGTTCTTCGTTCACCGGACTCCGGTGTTTGCCAAGCAGGCTCGTCTGGTGGTTCTGGTGCCCATGTTTTCTGAATGAAAACAATCAGGACCCGGTTCCGATGTGATCTGACAGTGGTGCAGAGTGTTTGACGTGGGAGCTGTTCGGGAAAACCCCAGGTTGCCGGTGATGGCGCCTCGAGTGCCAAGCTACGTGCGTTCTCTCTGGAGGGGCCGCACGCGCTTTTCCCATCAGGGAAGACCTCTTGCAGCAGCCCCATGGGATTGCGCGTGTGCTTTCCCACTCAGGGGCGCCGAGCCAGGCCTGCCGTGGTCTCCTACAAAGCCTTTAATTGTCTGCCACTTTTTTCCATTTAAAAAACTTGGAATCTATAAACACGGAGGTGCATGAGTCACGGCGAGTTGGTTTGGTTTGGACGTGACTTCTTTGGGCGGGCCTGCCCCGAGGAGCGGAGCGGCCAGGCGCCTGCATGCCTGAGGGATGGCGTAGTAGGAAGAATGCTTCACAGTGAACTGAGAGGCTGCGCTTCGTCCTGTTTTCCCTCTGACTCACTCTGGTTCTGGGCAAGCCCCTCCTTTTCCCTGGGTTTCACTCTCTCTGTAGGTGCTGTGACGGGGCACCTCAGGAATGTGTTCCTAGACCCAGCAGAAAATGAGCCAAATTGGGGTTCACTTTTCTCACATAACAAGAAGCCCTGGAATAGGTGCCAGGGCTGGGCTGGCAGCCCCGTGGTGCCAACAAGGATGAGGCTGTTTCCTTTTTTCGCCTTGCGACCCTTGACTTGCTCATCGTACTAGTTGCCTCCCAGTTGAAAGAAGGCTGCTCTCCCTCCCTGTGCTCCCTCTTCTTTGCAATGGAAGAAAATAGAAGTGGGGGGCAGTTTGAGAGGTGTGTGTTCCTCAGATCGGGAGTGTAAAAGTTTCCCCAGCTCTGTCTCAGTTCGTGGCCCTCCCTCATTACCAGGAGCTTTGGGGAAGCAGATCATTGTAGCTGCCTGGGCTCACTGCCACGTAGAATAAACCTGGAGTTCCATCAACCACTGTTTCAGTTATCTACTGCCACAGACAAGCCCAGACTTACTGGGGGTTCGCAGGGCAGCTCTTAACACCTGCAGGGCACAGCTGAGGTCATACTGCGGCATGTGGCTGGGGCCTCAGCAGGGAGCTCCACAGGGCCCGGGACATCTAGGATGCCTCTGCTCCTTGGGGTTCTCTCAGGGGGGGCCTGTCTAGCCCGAGCTGCTACACAGCTTGGCGGCTGGTTTCCAAGAGGACGAATTCTCAAGAGGACAGGCCCCCCCACCCCCGCCCCTTCCCCTGGCAAGTGCTTATCAACCTGCTGCTTGCATCAGTCCTGCTTGTGGACGTGCCGTTGGTCCATGCAAGTCACGTGGTCAAGCTCAGAAGCAATCTGGGTGGGGCTCTACAAGGGTGTGAATCCCAGGAGGGTGGGGTTCATTGGGGGCCACCTGTGTAGATGTCTGCCACAGTCAGAAAGTGGGTTGCACCGCCACAGTGTTTTTCAAACTGCAAGTCTTGAAATGAATTGAGTAGTTTATGGCCTGCATGCAGAACAGCAGAAGTAGAATATGGAGTCTCAGCGCTACACGTGCCCGAATGCACCCTGATGCACACCGTTACAGTGTGAATGTACCCATGGGGCCCGATGAAACATGCGTTTTGTCCTCAAGAGTCACTGTGAAAATAGCCGGAAACGCTGGGCCCGAGCGCCTCCGGGCCCCAGCACTCTGGTTCTATGGCAGGGCTTGCTGGCGAGTGTCCTGCTGACCCCCTTCCCTGCAAGGAGCTGTGTGATGGGGACCAGTCCTGCCCCCCGGGGCATAAATGCTGCAGCACTGGCTGTGGCCACACCTGCCGTGGAGACATCAAGGGAGGTAGGTTGGCTCTTTGGGGAGGAAATCCTTGGGTTCCAGCTTGGGTTTGGGAGGGAGTGGTCTGTATCTTCCCTTTTTGGGAGGAATTGCAGTCCTCATCTTTCCTGTCTGCCTGGCCCCCTCAACCCAAAGCAACCCCCCTCCTAGGGCCAGGGGCCCTTTTTGGCATTGAACAACCCGGGGAAGGCAGCAGTGGGTAACAGGGGCAGTCCCTGGGCAGGAAGACAGGCAACTTGGCTTCTGGTTTTGGTTCTGCTGTCGATGTGCTCTGTGAACTTGGATAAGCAAAGGCCCCTTTTGAGCCAATTTCGTCATCTGTAAAATGAGAGAGTTGCCCAAGATCGTGATCTTCTGGCCTAATTCTTAGCACAAAGCTTCTCTGTCTACAACATCAAATCTTGGTTGGAAGCAACATATAGACAACAGATAAAGCAACCCTGATCTGATTTCTTTGTTTCTTCAATACACGTTTTCAAACACACGCACGTTTTCAAGTGCCCCTGTGGTGCCGGGCCCTGCGGGACTCCGTTTCAGAGTCACGGGCCCAGAAGTTGGTTCAGGCAGCGCTTTCATTCCCAGGCAGCAGTCCAGGTCTTTACGTAGCGTAGAGCCCATCAGGGAAGGTAGACAAACGAGTGAATTACAGTAAAGTCTGATGAAAGGAGAACAGTGCAGTGTGGACTTTGTCTAGGGTGGCAGAGAAGTCTCCCTGAGGAAGTGACACTATGAAGTCCACTTGTAGGAGGGCGGGCGTCCGGGAGCCTCGCTCCCTCTGCCCTCCACCCAGCCCCACCCCCACGCACACAGAGGTGCCAACCCCCGAGGCACCTCTGGGGAGCTCCCCATGGGGCACTGTCTGAAAACAATTGGTCCAGGTGTACTCTTGGGGCCCTGCGGATTCTCAGACCCTCCAGCTTCCAGGTTCCCCGGCCAGACCTTTGGTTCAGGGATGAATTGGCTGGGAGCCCCCAGGTCTGAGTTCCAGGTGGGCACTTGGAGGCAGTGGAGCCGACTATCCCGTCTCTTTACCTTTGCCCGTTTTCCCACAGGACGGGGCGGGGCTTGTCCTCACATTTTGGTTGGCCTGTGCATCGTTACCTGCATGATGGATGAGAACTGTCAAGCCGGGGAAAAGTGCTGCAAGTCGGGCTGCGGCCGCTTCTGTGTCCCCCCAGTTCTGCCGCCCCAGCTGGCCTCGGACCCCAATGGGACCATCAGGGCTGATTCCGAATTAGGTGAGTACGGCTGCACATCCTCAAACACAAAGGGCTTCACTGCTCTATGCGAAGCACTGGCTTAGCTGCAGGAGGAGACTTCAGAAGGCCCGAGTGTCTACCCTGGAGAGTCTGGTTGGAGAGAAAGATGGTATGTTCCAGAACCCTTGTGTAGAGAATGCGGGCTTCCAGAGTGGGTGGGGCTCCTTGGGAAGGTCTTTCTGCTAGAAGTAGGATTTGAGCTGGGCTCTAAAGGTGGGGCAGGACAGGACAAAGGGAGGACAGACAGCCTAGAGAACATGCTGGACAGGCGGGCTGGTGATTGTGAGTCAAGGCACAGAGGGCGGAATGTAGGTGACGTGTTTGGGGAGCCGGGGCTCAGGTCGGGAGAGGTGGGTAAAGGAACAGGCGGGCTGTTGTTAAGACAGGAGCTATAGGTTGACTTCTGAGTGAGAGTCTTCCACGCCTGTTTGCACCGGGTTGTGTAGGAAGCAGGGAGTCGATCAGGGCTTCCGAGAGCAATGAATGCCATCCCTCTCCTGGGTGGAGGGAAACACACTGGGGAGCTGGAGCCAGGAGGGCACGGTTGTGACTTAATGTTCCTTCTTCTTGCAGAGACCCGGGTGCCCTAGCTGTCCCGACCTGTCCTGACTGCCAGGGGCCTGTCCTGGAAGCCGGGAGAGGATGGTGCCCGGGGCCTGTGGTGCTCGCAGGGGCTCTCACTGCCCCTCTCGGCTCTGCTTTGTTCCTACTGCTGCCCCGCGCTCTGCAGAAACAGCCCTGGGGTCAGGCGCTGGGTGGTGGGTGCTTTTGTCCCCAATAAAGGCTGGTGCTGACTCCTGTCTGGACTGTTTGAGGACTAAGGTGAAGGAATCCAGGCGGGGGGCCTGGGCGTGGCTGCGGGGTTCTGGGAAGGGTGGGTGATCCAGCCTTTTCAAGAACACCAAGAATGGCAGCTGGTTGGGTGTGGCCAGGGCAGAGATGGGTGGCAGATAACACTTGGGGTGACTTGCCGTAGGCGCCCCCGTCGAACCTCAGGAGTAGGACAGTCTGGCCTCTTTTGGGGGTCTGCTGACCCTGCTTTTATCAGAGAATGTGGGTTGGGGATGGAACTCGGCCGAGTGGCTAGTTTACGACACCCACTGGGACGTTCCCACCGTGGGCCTCCTCCCTCGGTCCAGCCCTCGGCTCCAAGACGGGCGGCTGGGCCCCTGCAGGAGCTTTCCCACGGGGAGGGGGTGTTTTAGGCTCTTGGAACCAAGATAACTTCTAAAAACTGTGTTTTTATGTATACAAAATGGATCATATTCTGCATCTTGGAGATCTTTTGTTATGACATACATTCTTTTAATAGAATCTCATGAAAATAGCGGATTTAACTAGTCATCTCTTGCTGGCCATTAATATCTTTGTACCTGTACATCTTGACTGACTTTTGCCCGTAAATCTGGGGAAATCCTTAGTGATAGAATTCCAGTTTTTTAAAAGAGAGCCTGGCAAAAAAAAAAAAAAAAAAAAAGGCCCTCGGTAACTATTTGCTGAGTGAAAGAAGGGATGGGATTCTCCAGTCTGTCCGTCAGGAGTTTGTCGGGCTGTCAGTCACAGAAAACCCAGCTCACAGCGGCTTAGCCAACACAGACATTCAATCTGCTGGTGCAGCAGCGGCTCGGCCGCTGTGGCAGTGACCAGACTCCTTCCTTTTCCACCACATCGGTGTGTTGGCTTTTGTCCTCACCTCGGTCACTTCACTAGGGGCGGGGGCGGTCCGGGGGTGGCTGCTGCTCCAGATGTGACAGCTGGAGGAAGGTGTGTGTAGAGGCCAGTGGCGGAAAGACTCCCTCTAGTAGCCAAAGACCTTGAAAAGTTATCTCAGGTGGTGCTCTTCTTTTAGCGACGGAGGAGGACGTGTTTCCCAGAAGTGGCCCGCTCCCCAGGCTTCTCTTCTCATCTCACCGGCAGTGGGGAAATGCGACCCTCTCAGATTCATCACGCGTCATCCCCTGCTGAGGGCAGGGCCACCCAGAGGCAAGTAGGCAAGGCTGTGAGAACGCAGAGAAGGAAGAGGCCTTGGTGCTTGCCTTGGAAATTGCAAAAATGCTTAAGGGAAAGAGGCGAGGTACAAGTAAAAAAATTCCCCATCACTGAGGTGGGTTTTTTGGGTCCCTTTTTCTTTTTTCTTTTTTAAAGATTTTATTTATTTATTTTTTAGAGAGGGGAAGTGAGGGAGAAAAAGAGAGTGAGAAATATCAATGTGTGGTTGCCTCTCACATGGCCCCCACTAGGGACCTGGCCTGCAACCCAGGCATGTGCCCTGACTGGGAATCGAACCCGCAACCCTTTGGTTTGCAGCCCGCGCTCAATCCACTGAGCTATGCCAGCCAGGTGGTCCCTTTTTCTGGCTCTATTCTTCTATTTATTTGAGTGTGAAATTCTGGTTTCTGCCCATTTGAGGGTGTGCAGTGCCCTGAACAGAGTAGGCGTGTGCCGGTGTGCCTGATCCGAAAGAGTGGCTGGCCTGAGTCTCACAGTGGCCACTGGAGAGATGGGGGAGGCGGGAGCCTGTGGGTCCAGGATCTTGTCGCAGGGGACTGGGAAGTGCTGGTGTCTGTGTGATAGGCTGCTGACTTTTGTCAGATTCCCCCTGTCATTTTATTGTTTATTAAAAAAAACTAATACATGTACATAGTTAAATCAGGAAAGAAGAGCTTTCAATGGAAGACGATGGTCTGGGAATCTCAAAATACTGTAGGATGATTTTCTGCTGGGGTGAGGAGTGGGACTAGAGAAGAAGTTGTGAGCCCAGGCAGGTCAGGCTGAATGCCAGGAGAGGGGTCCTTTCTAGATCCTTCCCTGTCATCTGGGGCAGCAGCACGCCCCTGTCCGTGGTAGAGCTGCAGACTTAGCTATAGGTAGCAATGACAGGGGAGGGAGACAGAGAGAGAGAGCGAGTGAGCGCAGGATCAAGTTCAAGCCCTGAAGGGCTGAATTTGAATTTGGGATTTTGTTGGAGGAAGAAGTCAAGAGTTGACAGAGGTAAGGGTATTCAGTGGTCACTGAGGGCTCAAGATCTGTTTGAGCCCTGGCTGGTGTGGCTCAGTGGAGCATCATCCCCTAAACCTGAAGTTTGCAGGTTCGATCCCCGGCCATGCATGCTGGGTCCCCTGTCCTGTCCTCCATGCGTATGATCCCTGGTCCAGGCACATAAGGGAGGCAATTAATCCACAATCCTCTCTTGCACTGATGTTTCTCTCTCTCTATTACTCTCTCCCTTACTCCTCTGAAAGCTATGAAAATATACTAAGTGAAATAAGCCAGGCAATGAGGGACAAATACCATATGATTTCACCTTTAACTGGAACCTAATCAACAAAGAAAAAAGCAAGCAAAATATAACCAGAGACATTGAAATTAAGAACAATCTGACAGTAACCAGAGGTGAGGGTGGAGGGGATAATGGGGGGGAAGGGGAAGCGTTTTCACGAACAGCTATAAAGGACACATGGACAAAACCAAGGGCGGGGGAAGGAAGGTGGAAGCAGGGGAGGGAGGAGGGTTTGGCTGGGGTTGCGGGAGTGGTGGGAAGTAACGCAGACGACTGTAATTGAACAATAAAATAATTTTAAAAGAAAATAAAACCTATGAAAAACTGTCCCCAGGCAAGGATAAAAAATACTTATTTGAAGTGGTGGGGGACTCAGATGCTGCCCACTTAGACCCTGAACTCTGGTGTTTGGGATACCAGTGTGGGAGCAGCAATGGCCTGGTTTTGAGTGGAATTTTTGCTGAGTGCCTTTCTCCTCAGAGCCACCAGAGGGCAGCAGACATCTGTCATGACCATTTCCCAGTAAGAGAGGGGGGTTGGTATTGACCCCACAAAAAACACTATACTAGAAGCCTAGTCACAAACTGACCATTGGGTGCCTCCCAGCTTTTCCGAGCCCCTTTCAGAAAACGTTACATAACTGGATCTATACTCCAGGTTTCTACTGAATTGTGCTTAGCAAATTAGGGCCTAACGTTACGCCCTCCCTTGGCGTATGATGTGGAATGCTTCAGCGGTTTTGGTAACATTTATGTTGGGAACATGAACCATCATGTTGTATCAACATATCACGTACAAAACCACAGAGCAAATTCTTTTTGTATCTCAAGGTCAGGAAAAGGTTTCTCTCATAATGTGCTCGTGAAAATGGGCAAGGAAATCACTTATCGGGCAACCTCGATGTTGCCAGGCCCTGTGATTGGTGCTTTCTGGAGCTGATGTTTTATTTTGGCCTTGGCTACCAGGAAGCCAAGAGTTCAGTTTTGGAGTGAGGACTGGGTTTGAATTTAGACTCTTCTGCTGCTGCTTAGCCCTGAGGACAGCTTTCTCCAATCACGCACCTCAGAGGATGGCTGGGAAGAGTGAATATATAAAGAAAGCACCTAGCATAGAACCGGACAGAGAACGCACACTCAACAAATGTTGACTAGTGTTATTCAGCTTTTTCTAATGCAATTCATTGCCTCCTGCTACCCACTTTTATTGCTTGTGTCTGCTCTTTTTTGCTGTTGGCTTAATGATTTTCAGTCTTGTGTCTTTGGTTTTACACTGTTAACTTCCTCAGATCCTGTTTGGAAGAAGGCGAGGTATGCATAACCGAGAGGTTAGTACCAGTGGAGTTCCTGGGCAGAAAGAAACATCTAGAGTAGCCCTCTTGAACAGAAATATGTGGACTTCCGGCCAAGATGGGGGGCGTAGGTGGAAATACTGTGCCTCCTCACACAACCAAAATAAGGACAACAAAGATTTAGAAACAAAAACACAACCAGAACAGACAGAAAATTGAATTTTACGGAAGTCTGACAACTATTCATCCAAACTGGTAAGAGGGGTGAAGTCAGCGGCCAGTGGAGAGGGGTCGTAGCAGAAAAAGGCGTTGTCTGTCAGACCTGGGAGTGCAGGTGGCACGCAGCTGACTGCGGTCACACATTTGCACACAGATAAACTATGCAAAAAAAGGGCAATGAGACAGACTGCGCAACCCAGGGCTCCAGCGCCGGAAAATAAAGTCTAAAAGCACTGATTGAAAAGGTGCCAGGAGAGACTCCTAGCCTCACAGGAGAGTTCGTTGGAGAGACCCACAGGGTCCTAGAACATACACAAGCCCACCCACAAGGCCTACCCTGGGTTAGAGTTCCTCCTGTTGTTTATGCCCTGAGAATACTGGCTTTAGCCGCTCACATCACCACACTTACCTGTGAGGCTGGCCACCCGATGAGAACTAGGAATAAGGCAGTTAGGGCAAAGGGGGATGCCCTTCTATACTCAGGGGTCTGGCTTTCTTTAAGACTTGTGGCTCCAGATGTAAAGTCCCAATGTCTATATTACTCGCACCTGGGGCACTGGAGACATTTCCCTAGAATAAGAGCATTGTTGGGGATCGAATGCTCATTGATTTGGGGCAGATGAAATAATTTAATGATAAGGATTTTAGCGCCACCTACATGGAACTGCAGTGGGGTCCGTGACAACTCACAGAAACACATTGTGTTTCGTCAGGTCTTGCCAAGGAGGTCTCAGCAGTGACTGCCTTTGTCCAGACTGACTCACGACACGGGGAGGGTGGTGCCTTCAGAGAGGTGCCTCTGGGGTTTCTGATGGAAGAATCTAGGGTGTGATGGGCTTAGACCCGTGTCGACACACAGGGGCTTCTCGGTTAAAATCGTATGTATGTCATCAGCATGAAAGGCAAATCTGGGCAAAGAAAGGAACAAGAATTTTAAATTAAAAAAAACCCGTCTGAGAAATAGGCCCA